ACCTGGTGCTGAATGCCCAGAAGACAGTGGAGATTATTGTGGACTTCAGGAAGCACACAGCCCCACTCCCCCCATCATCCTGACTGACACCCCCATCACCTCTGTGGACTCATTCCGCTTCCTGGGTACCACCATCACCCAGGACCTGAAGTGGGAGCCCACCATCACCTCCGTCATCAAGAAAGCCCAGCAGAGGATGTACTTCCTGAGGCAGCTGAAGAAATTCAACCTGCCAACACGGACTCGATGATTGCCAACACTGCAATCATCGAGTCCATCCTCACCTCCTCCATCACCGTGTGGTACGCTGGAGCCACTATCAGGGACAAACAGAGACTGCAGCGTGTTGTGCGCTCTGCTGAGAAGGTGATTGGCTGCAGACTCCCATCTTTGCAGGACCCGTACACCTCCAGGACACTGCGGCGTGCAGCTCGGATCTCAGCTGACCCTTCTCACCCTGGACACAGTCTGTTTGACCTGCTCCCCTCAGGCAGGAGGCTCCGGTCCATCCGCACCAGAACCTCTCGCCATAAGAACAGTTTCTTCCCCTCTGCTGTTGGACACATGAACAATAACCGTATGACTGTTCCCACCACTAACACATGACCCTACGCTGTGTCACTGCATCATTCCATGTTTGCACTGATCACCACCTGCACTCATGTATATATCATGTATATATCTTTCTATCTACTTAGCACTTTTAATTCTTATTCTCATTTTTATTTTCATGTCTATTTAAGCTTAATTTATAACAGTATGTTTGCACTGAAGCACCGCAGCAATTTCCTAATGTTGTAAACCCGCTCAACATTTGGCAATAAAACCCTTTCTGATCTGATTCTGATTCTGATTCTGAATAGAATATTGATCCCAAAGAGGAAATGTATTTCTAGTTTAAAAGTTCCAAACAGTGCAGCCACCATATACATGCAAAGCACAACAAACCACAATCTGAGTAACGCTAAACATCAGTATAACTGTTATGCTGCACTCAGTGACCTCGTCAGTACAGACTGCTGCACAGATCACTGATTGAACAAGACACAGAGAAGCTCTTTATCTTCTAACAGAAGGTAACCGTTCATATTGCGAGTACAGGGTCGCACAGAGTAACCCTCGTTGTAACACTTGCTGTTAATAAAGAGTCAGGACTGTGATGAGCTTCGTGGCTGTGATTTTCATGGCTGTCTGCAACCTTAATCTCACTGTTACAGAGAGATCTCTAAACCGTGCTGTTATTCCATATCTGATTACACAGAAGTGTCATTTCTTTATTTAACATTTATTTAACCAGGAAGTCCTTTGAGGTCAACGTCTCTTTGTCAAGGAAAACTTCCCCAAGACCTCACACCATTACAGTGTTACAAGTTTAAAATTAAATATCTGCATTTAAAGTAAATAATAAATAAATAAATAAGCAAAAACAGGAGAACTCAAAGTAAAAGCAAAGCATCTACAGGTCTCCAGCTGAGCAGCACCACCTGAATGTCCCACAGGACCCCAGAGCAAGACGAGCAACAATAGTGATCTAAGAAAAAACAGGCTCGCCAAATCTAGTCAATACAGTTTCAGTCATAATACAAATTACAGAAAATCCTTAATATCACAGTGGCTGACACGGCCGTCCTCTAAGAATATGGAATACAATGCAAATATATTACATATATGTATCATATCTTTGTTTTCATCAGAAAAGCTTGTGACAGGAGCAGAGGACAGGAAGGTGTCAGCATGTGGGGAGGAGCTACAATAACAAGGCGTATAATCATTACCAAGAGAGGACGAGCGGCGAGCGTGGTGGACAAAGATGGGTTTGCTCTGGGGAAGGACACCGTGGGGACGGTGGGATGTTTTAAAGGCCAAAACTAAGATTTGTCCTTTTTCATGCTTTTTAGGTTAAAAGTGTTTCTGGTGTTTCACACAATCAAAGCGGTGACATTTTGCATGTTCATCACTTTAAGTTAAGGTTCTAGGCTGGTTACAGCTGTACGAGAAGGTTGATCAGAGATCAGTGGTAGCTTGGATAGCTTGGTGTCTCTATAGGCTGGCTACAACACACAGAGACAGAAACCTGCTGGGGTTTTATTTGTTTGTGTTAAAATGTTGAAATATTAGAATTCCCTCACCAAAACAGTGGGACGGTCTTCTCAGAGAGGCTTTTAGTGAAGCTGACCTCAGAGTAAGGCTCCGACACAGTTGAGGTCAGGTTCAGTAACTTGAATTAGTTGAGGTGAAGCCTAGCAGACGACTGCCTGCTGCTGCCTCCTCTGTGATTATGATCTGTCAGCAGAAGCAGCCACTACCTAATGGCAAAATTAGCTTTAGGGACCAACCTATTAACGTGTTCATCTCTTCTGTAAAGTTGGACATTTTAAAATGGGAGGCTTTGGGAACTAACTCATCTGTGGAAATCTGTGGAAATAGCCACAAGGACCTGATGTATTTGGCACTTTTTGGTTTAATTTTCTTGCTTTCAGCAGATTTAATCCATCAGTCCTTCCATTTGCTTTTATTTATCCAGGGCCGGGTCACAGGGCAACAACCTAAGCAGAGAAGCCCAGACCTCCTTCCCCTCAGACACTTCCTCAGGCTTATCCAGGGGAGCACCAATATAATAAAACTCCAAAATCTAATCATCATAAGGATTACTATAAGCAGATGTCATTAATGTGCACCGCAGCGAGGCAGTGGTCCTTAATTCGAGCCTTCCCTGGTTTAGGCTCCAGCACCCTGGCAACCATGGCTTTAAAAGATGATTTGAATAGCGTCCGACTGATCGCTGACCTTATGTTAAATTGGAGAAAAATCTATTTTGGAGAAACAAAATGCGCTCTTGTGTGTTCAGTATTTGGTGTCTTAATTAGGTTATTTTAATAGTATTGCACAGATAAATTGGTGCATCCAAGTTTCCCCAGCAAATAACTGTATTTACAGCAGCGGGAGGGTCTGTGTGGGGATGACTAAAAACAATGTTCCTGGTAATGAAGGGATGTGTCATATGGCTCAGTGGTGTGGTTTTAAAAGTAGACGACAGCTCTTTGGTACAGGGGGAAAAAAGTTACAAAAAATGTTTATTTCACAGAGTTTTGGATAGTAAATAAATAATATTAGCAGCTGAAGCTTTTTAAGTCAGATTTGATCTTGGGTATGTATTTGTACTAGTTAGTGGATTTCCCTCCTCCCTCTCCTTCATCTTTTCTCCTTCATCACCAAACTTGTCTTCTTACTTTCTTAACGGTGACTCACAAAGCTGCACCACACTGTGTATCGGTCTCTGTTTCAAACATAGTCATTAACTGTTTTCGTTGTTCCTGCCATCACAGGACGCACAGATAGTCACATTTTTTTAATTGCTCATTTGTGCCAGTTATTGTTGGCTATTGTCCATCGTTGCACCCCAGGATTAAAACAAAGGGAAACCCTGTGCAGTATGTTAACAATTCAGCTGTTATGCAAGCATGAGGGTTTACTTTTCTTAGGACACGAAACACTGAGAATCGTTACACAATCGCAATGCACCCATTTTAGTATCCACCTCTGTCCTTACCTGTTAGATAAATGTTTGGGTTTTTTAATCATTTGTAATGACTAACAAGAAAGCCTGCACTTCTTTCTTCTGCCCCCTCATTTTCTCTCGATTAAACTCAATATTTTCACCTCCTCAGTTTATCAGCCACGTCGTGACTCCCAGCACAGCAGAGGACTCGGTCCCTCTCCCAGTTTCAAGTTGCTTTATTGCCTTTCCATGTAAATACATCTCTGGTGCCAAAGCATATGAAGGAAGATAGAGGGGGAAAAAATTAAAAATAAGCATTGGGGATGCCTGTACTGGCTGACTGGCCATCGATCACAGGCTGGTTTGATTCCTGGCTGTTCCCGTCCAGATGTCTTCCTGTATTTAACTAAGATGCAGAGCACCAAAGAGCTCTGCTGAACACTAACAGTTTTATTTTGTAAGTTCTACTCTTGGTTGGTTCGGTAATACCTAATAACAGAATGATCCTCCAGAATGCACTGTAGTCCACAGCAGGGGTGGAACATATGTCTTGAGTAGCTGTCTGATATGCAAAAGCAGAGAAATAACAGATGCGTCTGTTTAAAAGTGCAGCCAAACAAACTCACCTGTGAGAATTTAATGTGAAACTTTCTCCGAACAAAGTTCAAAAATCTCCGGAAACAGGAGAATGAAAATGTGCACTTTCACCATCCCGCGAATTCTGCCTCACGCTGCATGCGTTGCTCCCTGAGTGGTAACTACACATTGCAAATAAGTTTACTCAGTCATCTCCTACATTGTATCTGATGATCTGTAAATTCCCTTTTATGCTCACCAGGTGAAAACTCTGCCTGTAGTTCTGATTCTGCTGAAGAATCTCAAAGGATGATCACAAACAAGTTCTGCGTGTACTCTCAGGCTGCACAGGAAGTCTTATATTTATGTACTTATACTGCTTATACTGTACGTCTCAAGTATTTTCAACAAGAGAGGAGAAAGTCCCTGAATGGTTGTTGCTGTGGTTGCTGTGGCTCATTAGGTAGAGCAGCGTGAGTGGTATGATCCCTGGCTCCTGCAGTACAGGAGCGACATATGGATCATCCATGAATATGTGAATGAATAAAGTGGTTTTAAAAATGGTCAAATGTTTTTATTAAAAAGCCTAATATAAATGCCAATCTATTTTTGTATCCAAGTTTTTCCCTGGATTCAGCAGAGGTCATAAAGTGCAAAGTACCAGAAAGTGCCAAACCCGCTTTCCAACTTGCAAATATATTCATGCAGCTCAGTTTGTATTTTGCATAGAAAAAAGCACATCTCCTTTTTGACACTTTTGTGAGACGCATCATTCTTTTATCTCCACATCTCTTCTTTTTCTGCTTTCAAATTCTGTATACAGTATGTTCAGTAGAGACACACAGACTGAGGACATTCATGTCTGTCTTCCTCACTGTTTGACAGAAGTACAAGAATCTGAGTTTCTCCTTCTTTTTCCCAACAGAAAGACCGTTTTGTGAAGCTCCTGGATCAGCTGCACAACTCCCTGCGTATCGATCTCTCCATGTACAGAGTGAGTCAGAGCTTCCAGCTGCTGATAATAGTTTCTTAACTGCAAACAGAGAATACGGTCGTATTAATTCAGTCGTTCACAAGATAGCACATGATAGAGGGCAGAAGTCAAACTAGACTACACGGACTACTTACTACATATTTCACCCCCTTCTGCTGTAAGGCAGTTTCCTTATTTCCTGCCAAAAATAACAATAAAAAAATCACCCAGCTGTTGTCCATTTTCTTAATTTTAAGTTAATTCTGGACCTACAGAAATATGTGAATATAGCATTGGTTTCCATTTGTAGCCAAACGTTTTGCTTGTTATACAATTGAGTGCTTGATTTGATGAATGTTACAGTTTCATCACCATTATGAACAAGAGTTACAGAATATAAGAGCCTAGAAGAGCCTGACCTAAATAGGCTGATGCATTTTAGAAGAAACATAATTAACCAAGTGTTCGTGTGTGTTTATGTGCAGAATAACTTCCCAGCCAGCAGCAAGGCTCGCCTCAGTGACCTCAAATCTACTGTGGATCTTCTCACCAGCATCACTTTCTTCAGAATGAAGGTAGAATCAGCTCATAGTGTATAATCACTACTATCATAGCACTAAAACCAAACAGACACAACACTGCTGTTATATTAGAAGGTTAGATGCCTTTAATGATGAAGTATTGACTCAAAGTATTAAATGTATTTTATAGATTTTAACTTGTTTATAGAGCTTATGTAGATGGATGGATAAATAGATGTTTTTGATACACTTTATATGAAATATACATTTTTCCCCTTTGTAATCAGGTTGGTAGGGTTGCTGTTGGATTAGGACATCATAGTTGCACTGTAGTGCAGCATGCGACAATTAAAAGCTATACTTTAGCTGTTAGCAGTAGCGCATGGTCAGAGTAGCTAATTATTTTACTTGAATCTCTCTCTTCCAATTATGTCCTTCCATCTATTTTCTTATCATGTTAATTACACCTTCCTCTGTCTCTTCCTCGCTCTCTTGTTGGGAAGGCTGTCCCTCCTGCTACACTTCTCTGTGGCTAGTGCTAGGAACAGCAAGGGCCTTATATTAGTTCTTGCTGGTACTACGGTGCAGCTGCAAACACAAAATTTAAAGCATTGGTAAAATAAAGAAAAGAATGTAAAATACAGTAACAACGTATACTATACGGAAACACTGCACTGCCACCCCACGTCCCCTCTCTGGAGATTATAGCGTCCTGCTTTTTATCAGACAAATTTATATTCTAGATTAATAACATGATAACACTGATATTCACCCACTGTGTTCTTTCTTCCCACTCCAATGCCCGGTCTCACGCAGGTCTTGGAACTGCAGAGTCCTCCCCGTGCAGCCAACGTGGTGCGAGATTGCGTCAAGGCCTGCCTGAACTCCACCTACGAGTATATCTTTAACAACTGTCTGGAGCTCTTCAACCGCCAGTTTCAACCCGCTGTCCAAGCAGTGAGTGGCTAAGTATCGACATGTTTTAAGCTTCCACAACAGATCAATACATCTTCTGGGAAATTTGTAAATGTTTGACTGAGAGAAGTGATAATACAACAGTATTTCCCATCAGCTACAGCCAAACCCTAAACAATATGTCTGTTAGAGTGATAGAAAGCAGTAGTTTGCTCTCTATCACTATCCAGTGTTGTATAGTGTTACAAAGATCTATGAGTTACTTTTCATGCGACTACAGTGGTTTCTCCCTATTCTGTGGTTGATTTAACAATATTTAAATAAAGCAAACACCAGATTTAACTCTCAGTTTTTACATCAACTCCTCAAATTGCAATATTAATCACATTAATCTGCACTGCAGCCTGGTTTAAGTGATGCTCTAATGAACCCCTATCTGTAGCAGCCACAGAAATATTTCCAGAACAAGGGAAATTTTTAAGCTTGCCAAGAAAGATTTTTGTATCAGTGTGTCTAAAGTCATTAAACCATTCGAGTTCCTGAATAAATTAAAAATATGTATTAATGGTGTCATTTTCAGCTTCATGGAGTGTATAAAATCTTATCACATAAATATGGAGCAAGAACATTTTTTAAAATGTGTCATATTATGATAAATTATTCATCGAAATTTCAACTGTCAAGAAAACTTCTGAACTTGTTTTGTTTTCTGCTTCCGTGTAGAACTGAAACATGTCAGGCAAGTCAATTCTTCCTTTATTTCATATTCTTTTTCACGTATGCAGCCCGAGCCAGACAAGAAGAAGAAGAAGAAGAAGGAAAAAGCAGAGGGTCAGGAAGCTGAAGATGATGATGAAGAGGAGGAGGATGAAGAAGAAGAGGAGGAAGAGGAAGAGGAGGAGAAGAAAGAGGAGAGTCAACCGGAAGAGCAGGGCCCAAGCATCCAGAATCTGGACTTTTGGCCTAAACTCATCACACTCATTGTGTCCATCATTGAGGAGGATAAGAACTCGTACACACCCATCATTAACCAGTCAGTGTTTTCCTTTTGTCTTCTATATTCTAATTCTGGGAAATGTGTTGTTGCAGAAGTTGTCTTCATGGAGCAGAACTATCAAGTGCATTATATTTTTGAACTTATATATCTATTGTAATGAATGTTTAAAGACATATAGCACATTTTATTCACACCTAAAAAAAAGACTGTTTACTACAAAAGTATAGAAGTATAAAAGATCAACTAGGAACTAAAGGTGGCAGGTATTTTTTAATAAAAAATAATAATAACAAAATAAATGACACTTTTATTGTTGAGCAAACTGTGTGGTCTGTGGAGGTGCTAGATAAAAAAAATCTCCAAAACACAAAAGCTTTGTACGCTGCAATAGAATCTTTTCTTTTGTTATAAACAATCTTTTTATTTTTATTTATTCAGCTATTTTTACTGCCACAAGGCATTGCAAAACCAGGACAAGTCCCAGTAAATCTACTTCTGGTTTGCTATAGATCAAGGGAAGTAACATTTAAAAAACCAAGATGGCCAGGGTTGAACCAGAGATTTGATCAATAAGGTTTAATAATAACAACATAAAACAATTGCGCGCTTGCAACTAGTGCAAAATGCTGCGGCACGATTTTTAAGTGGCAGAAGGAAAGTCGACCACATCACTCTGGTTTTGGCCTCTACATTGGCTTCCAGTTGAATTTAGGATCTGTTTTAAAGTTCATTTATTGGTTTTAAAATCTCTAAATGGTCTGGCACCTGTTTATTTGTCTGATTTGTTGAGGCCCACGTCCCCATTCGTTCGCTTCGGTCAGCTGAGCAGCTGCTGCTTTCAGTCCCTAAGTCACGGCTGAAACTTAGAGGAGACCGAGCGTTCTCTGTTGCAGCTCTGATGCTTTGGAATAACCTTCCTCTCCATATTAGACAAGCTACATCAGTGCCAGTTTTTAAGTCCTGATTAAAAACCTATTTTTATTCCCTGGCTTTTAACTCTGTGGGTAACTGACATTTTTATTAATTTTATTGCTCTGTCTGGTTTTTGCTATTTTATTCCTATATTTATATTTGTATTGTTCAGCACTTTGGTCTGCCAGGTGTGTTTTTAAAGTGCTATATGCATAAATGATGATGATGATAAAACAAACAGGTTTTAAAAACCAGACGGTGGGATCTGTGTGTGCTACTAAACTCAAATAACTATTTTTTGGTCAGTTGTTAGCTTAGATTAGAGCTTAACACATATATTGTGTTCAAGTTGAGATATTAAATGATATCCTGGATAAACCCCCAATCATATGATGTTTGGGCTCAGTGAAGCATAAGCAAAGTAACAACAGCCAAACAGATGATCAAGACAAGTTTAAAGGGTAACATTTAACAATATTTCCAAAAATCCTTCAGATTCCAGTTACACTGGAAGGGAAAGGGGCTGCAGTGACCCCCATTACTTGCAGAGTAACGAGTATTTTTACTGTCTTACTTCTTTATTCCTCCAGGTTTCCTCAAGAGCTCAATGTGGGTAAAGTCAGCGCAGAGGTCATGTGGATGCTCTTCGCTCAAGACATGAAATATGCCCTAGAGGGTAAGACTATATCTTTGCATACTTGGACAGTATATGTGTGTGTGACAGAGACATCTCAGAGAAACCAACTCCTCCTTCTTCCCTTCTGCATTCACACTGTCTTTTCTTCAATCCATCATCTCCTTCAGTGTTGGATATGATTGACCACTACCACTGGAAAAATGGTGAGATTAGAGATAAAAATATGGAGATACAGTCAGAAAAGTCAGTAATCGGGATTCCAGAATAGGGTTAAACATCTCCTGAGACCATTTCTATAAAAACTTGTTCAAACCTCTCAGCACTGAGCTAAAACACACTGACAGTAAGCATCAGAGAGTAAGAATGTTCATTGTAATATCAAATAAAGTGTGTGCAAAGTTCTGAGAGTGTTGCTGATAAGGGGAAAATACAGGAAGCAGGTGTTAGTGTTTAACATTTTTAGAGCT